TATATATATATATAATATATATATATTTTTATATATATATAATATATATATATATATATATATTTTTATATATTTCTTTTCAATCAAATAATCAAAATTTTATTCTATTTATTACTCATTTTAACTTATTTTAATTTTTTATTTTATTTTATTTCTTATCTATTGTTTTCCTCTCTACCAATCTCGCCAAGTTAAACTAAAAAAAGTTACATATTTTAGAACTTTGAAAAATCAACTCATTCTACTTAAATCCGGAGTCATCCGAGTTGAACCTGTTAAGAGTCTAACTGGATCACGAGCCCACTAAAAAAAACACTATCGCTGGGCCTTGGCCCACAGCCCAGTTATTCATTCAGGCGAATGTCAGACGCTACACAGGGAGGGTTACTGCATACTGCATAGTGCTTACTGGGTTAGGTTAGAGACTTTTGGTGGGAGAAAAAGAAAAGGAATTAGGGTTTTCGGTTTCACTGCTTCACCATCTTGTCTTCTCTTCGTGATCGTGACCCACCACCCAACACCGCCACCGCCCCGGCGCGTCTGCCACCGCGATCGCCACCACCCTTTTTTTTAAAAAAAATTTTAAAATTAAGTTAGCCAGCCCGTTTAACCCACCAGTCCGTGGTGGACCGGGCCGGGCCCAATTTTTGTATGCCCGAACCTGATTCAAAGTTTGGATCTTTGTGAGTTCATTTGCAACTTTGATGATGAATCTGGTTGGAATCATGAAATTTAAACGCTTTCTTTTTTGTGGTTTTTACCGTTTCTTTTCTGTTTGTAGGAATTTGAGGCAAAAATGAGAGTGATTCAGAAGTTTTTCGTTACATCACTGTTCATGTGGGCCATCCCTATTGCAATATTGTATGCATTTAACAATAATATGCTTCCTGGTGAGATTCTAATGCACTTAAGCTTTCATGGGTTGTTGTTGATTTGAAGGGGGTGTTGCTTTGTGCTCCAATTTGTGTGTTTTATATCTTTTATCTGTTAGCTTGACTTCCGTGCGTGTTCTACTCAATTTTTTCTTGTTGAAGAGATGGCATTATACTGTTTTTTTTATTTATTATTATTATAGACAAAACCTGAAAATTAGAATATTGGGCATTGTTTGTTTTCTAAAATTGGTTTGTCCCCAAGCACATTTGAAAATGTTTGTCTTGTAAACACATTTCTGTGTTCTAAAAGTTTATCCCATGAGCACTTGAAGAAAATAGAAGAAGAGAATGAGAAAACATATCCTAGTTGTTTCCCTTTTTTATTTTTAAAACACTTGTTTGGAGAACAATTTTCAGAACTTTTGATTTTCGACGAGAAATGATTGCTGAAGAGTGTAAAAGTATTTTATAAAACACATTTAAAAAAAATGAAAAGAGAATCAAACAAGCCCTTGGTCTTAACAATTGATGATCTTGAAGGAAATGTTATTGTTTTTCTTTTTCGTGCAATGCCTGACATAAAATTTGCCTATTCAGATCGTGTGGAAAATTTGATCTGTATATATACATATATACTAAGCCTCTAAGAAAATGGGTAGTTTTCCCATATTGTTTAGTATGTACCGTTTGTTCAGGAAGGTGATTTTCTACTTCTGATGGAGTTATTTTTTTTAAGTTTGTAATACAATCAATGCAATGAAAGATGTGTATAATTTGAATCCTTATCTCTGGTCTTAAGAAGTAAACTATGATAGTTTGTATTTTGCGATGCACATTGGAAATTGTTTTTAGCATTATGTGCCATTTGGAAATGGTTGTTAAATGGTGATGCTTTGTTTTTTGTCTTTTATTTTTCTTCCCTGCATTAGACTGAGGAGAGGATCGTAAAAGAAACATCCAATCCATTTTCTTGCATCACTACATTACCTCTGGTATTGACTATTGAGATAACCAAGTATGCCATTAAGGCATTCACACCCCATTATAACCAGAAACTGTTGTTTGAATTGTAATAAGCCAAAAATTAATAGAGATCAGTTTATTTTTTAATTTTCATGTGACAGAGGGCAATGACTTTTCTCAACCATTGTAGCACTTAAGCACATTCCAAAATTGTAGTTTTACTGTGCTTGAAGTCAGTGCTTCATAATGCTGACTAGATCAGCTTAATTCTTTAAGCAATTATTTTACTCTTTTAATCAGTATTCACTTGTCTTTTGCACTCTTACTAGACTGGCATCTAAATTCTCCCACACTATGGGGGCTCTTCAAATGTTCTGATTTCCTCAGTTATTTATAGAATGCTTCATCATGTTGCCCGCTGATATGGGTCTTATGACTCTTATCATTTTTCAATGAGTTTCTTTTTCATACTTTTACAATTAGAAATCACCTTAAATATGACTTTGGGCTTGTTTGAATAAACTTCTCCAGATGCACTTTTAGTAGAGAAAAACAAGAAAGAAAATGGAAATGAGTTTTTTCATAAGCTAAAATTAGTTTATGCATTAGTTAAAAATAAGATTTTGGAGGAGTTAATAGAAAAATGTTTCTACAAATTAGCATATGCATAAGCTAATTTTACCTTATGTAGACAATCATTTCATTTTTTTTTTCTATTTTTCTTTCCTAAAAGTAGTTCTAGAAAGTTTGTACAAATAGGTTCTTTGAAATTAATTATTACAAGATACAACCATCTTATCATACATGTCAATCTATGATTGAATAACAATATAAAAAACTATTACACTATAATTAAATTCTTTTTCATTGCATTCCCTTAATGTTCCCAACTCATTGGGAGCAAGGCCCAATAGAAAAATGTAATGTAAGTTGCAAAACTACCACCTTACTGTGTTTCCTTGTTTGCAACAGGAGCAACTAATTTGTCCCCTTACTCTGTGACACTAGTGAGCGGGTTTCTTGCTGTCATATCTGTTAATGTAGTCATAGCATTTTACATATATTTGGCAATGAGAGAGCCTGCAGATAAACATGAGCCTGATCCTAAATTTCTTGCTGAGGCCAAAGCTAGCATCAACCAGTCAACAGGGGATGCTCAAAAATCTTCCCAGCCTCTCAAGAAAGAACAATAGATGGTGTTTTAAGACCAGATGGTGTTTTAAGACCTCTTTGTTGTTGTAGCCACAAGCTGTTCATCTTGTGGAAGAGGGGGAACAATGGGGATGAAGGGAGAAGGTCCTGAATCGTGTGCCCATCATGCTTCTGTTATCAATTTTGCACATTTATGTTTTCCTGTGTTAGTTCCATAGAATTTTATTTTATTTGTATACACACACGGTTACTTTCTGTTAAGAATATGTTTTAGACATTTTTCTTGAGTTTAATTTCTATGCACTCGCAGGTAACTGATTAAAAATCATGGTAAGTATAACTTCTGAGGCATTTGCTGTAAAATTAACAAAGATATCAATATTTAGCAACTTTTGATTATATGAGCATGTAAAATCTTTTTAAATTTTTAGTGCATAAACAATTTTTTTCTCCATTTTATTATTATGTTTTCAATGAATTGGAGAAAGTTATTTTACAATTGATTTAGCTACGATTTAAATAACTAAATAATTGAGCAACACAGGGAAATCAGATCACATGTTGCATGTGCTAAATTATAATTATCATTGCTATACAAATAAATCTTAAGCTATACTATTGCCGTTCCCCAGACAGGTCTCGAGTTTTTTCTCATCGATGGGTGACTTCGATGTACTCGCTCACTGTCTTCTGATTTTTCTCATCAGTGGATGATCTCAATGTACTTACTCAAATAATGTCAATTGATGTAGAGTACACATTGTAAGAAAATTATTAGTTATATTAATTATGATAATAAAATAATTTGATCTGATTATATGTTTATTAAAAGAATTGGAGTGCGGTTGTTGTTAACTACCCGGTACTTAGGTGAAATGTTCAATAATAAGGTTATTAACAAAAGAGAATAATTAAATTTTTAACATATTTTCTTATCCACAAAATTCAAGAATTAGAATTTAGTGGTTGGTATGCAATTTAAAACTCTTAAAATTGAGATACAATTTGAGATGGAGAAATTAGTAAATTAATGTTTCGTATTAGCTCCAATAAGCATTTTGTGAAATCTTTTAAGAAGGAAAGATGATCGAGCATATTGTTTTTAGGATGTGAATTTGTGGACTCATGGTCACATTACAGTGATTTTACAGTTTTTTTTAAACTGTTTAAATGAAAACATTAATTTTAAAATATTCAAAAAAATATGTTTGTCAAAAAATGTTTACCCCCAAAATAGTTAGACAAAAGTTAGGTATAATATTAACAATATTGTTGGTGTTGTTCACATTCAATTTTAGTAATTATTGATTGTTATAACTAATTTGATGATGAAAACAATAATTACTAAAATAATAAATATTTACAAATGACACTAATATTTAATGAGGAGGAGTGAAATTTATTTTTACTCAAGAAAGTTTTACTATAACATTTCTAATCTACCAAACAATCATTGAGGTGCTTTGTTCTTAAAAGATTAAAAAATAGGCAATTAAAAAGATTAAAACTTAAATAAATAGGACAAAAGAATATAATAATTGTGATAGTACTAGAAGACTCCATTGTTATTTAAATATCTCAACAATACTCATATTGAGCTACCTCTCACAAAGCTGCAAATTTTTCTGCATGAAGCAAAGTGGTGACCGATATCTTTGATTTCCAGATGTATACTCTCTTGATTCTACTTTTTTTTCTCTTTGTTTGATCCATGAGAATTGCACCTGGTATCAAAGGATTTACAATGCTTACACACCCTCCTTAATCGAGTTAGATCCCTTTGATTGATTCTACTCCTTTCCAAGTGAGTTGTGACTTCTTAATGTTGTTGGGTTTTCTATGTCAACATTTTCTAGGCTCTGTCTCAACTGTACCATGTTGTCCCCTAACTAATTTCTTGTGTTAGTTTAGCTCTTCCTAGACCTACCATTTGGTTCAATGAAGTAATCATTGTTATTATAACAATTTTTCCACTATGAGAATGAGCATTTCACTTGCAAATTGGACATAAGGGTATCTTTATATTGTGTTTGTTATCAGCTAAATGGATGAGAAAGGTATGGAATTTCAAGGAAGGTAAATTGAATAATTATATGTGTTTGGTATAAGGGAATAGGAGAAAAGTTGAGATAAATTATGATGGGTTACATTGTTCATGAAACATTGTTCATATAAAAATTGTTGGCCACATATGCACCTTTCTTTTTCATATATATATATATATAAATTATATGTGTATTTATTTATTATTTTCAAATAAAAAAGTGCTTATAAAAATATATATTTATTTTTAAACAAAGTTATTTATAAAAATAATCAACTTCCACTTCATTTCTTTTTCATTTATCTCTTACTTTAATTTTTAAACATAGTAATTGTGAATACTATTATTTTATAAAGATTCAATTGTATAAAATATAATTTTAAAATATCGAATTCACATTATTTCTCACCTAATTTCACTCTACCAAACAACTACAAATTTCACTCTATTTTCTACCTATTTCCTATTAAATCACTTCTCACATATTCTCTTTGATTTCTCCCTCTCTCTCAAACAAAGCATTAGAAGCCATGAGTCAACACATTGAGCAAGAAAACTATGCTTGCACATAAGTAACAATATGCACTTATCTCTTGTGTTGAGGCTCTCAAAGCAAATTGCGCAATCAACAAGGCTGCTTATGTTGCCTTTGGCAACATAATCATAACATGAAAGCTTCTCCAATTCATCCATGGACATGCTTCTTCCACCATTTGCACCCCTCTCAACCATTGATCCTCTCCTAAATAGTCTCTCTGATAAACAAACATCAAGTATGACTTGGGACGCAATCCCCATAAATATTAGCACTACTGTTACAATAATTGTCATTATCAACACCAATGTTGAAGATGAAAATGATAAAAATAAAAAGTAAAATAAAATAAAAAATCACAAATTTTCTAACACATGGATTCATGATGTAACATATTACATGCTAAATACCAATATCTATTATTAGGAAGACCAATGTTGAAAATGAAAAAAGCTCACGAATTTTCTAAACATGGATTCATGATATTACATATTACTATATGTTATGTAACATGCTCAAAATTCTAATCAATAAATCACTCTCCAATGAATGCATATGTGTGAAGCAAAGTGATGCACAAATTTTCCTCGATGCCAAAAATCTACCATGTAAAGTAGAATTGTAGCACAAGAAAAAGTGTAGGAGTGTTTGTCATAGAAACACAATAAGTTTCTTTGTTGTGATGAGGTTGAGAATTTCATTTAAAACAAATTAAGAACATAGTTTTGTATGATCAATGAGGTTGGTTTATTTGTCTTTGGTGTATAAGGTGAGTGTGGAATGATGATGGTGTAGGTAAGAAAGTAACCAATTTTACAAGTTGATGCAAAAAATATGGCTAGCTTGCACTTTGAACCTTTTCCTCTTATCTTCTTCTCCTTATTCTCTTTACTTTCCCTTATTCTTGGTGTTTGGTTTTGGCAATATGTATCCCTTTTTTTTTCTCATTATAGTGAGACACGGGATAATACTTCAAGGCATTAGTGCATCATTAACACTGGTCAGCATAAGTAGTAACATTTACTTATATCTTTTAATTAAATTGTCTAATGTTTGAATTCTTATCTTGAATATGAAATAAATCATGTTAGAAAAAGAATCCTCACTTAATATGTGATCACAATTTTTGACAAATGTTACCAATACCATAATTGAAAAAAAAATACATTAGTTCATCCAAATGATAAAATAGAATAATTAAAGTGGTATTATTTGTTACTTGAGTTCTTTATTTATGATCTTTGTGTGTTCATTTGTAACTGTTTATGAGTTTGATTGGAATCGTGAAATTAAACACCTTTTTTTGTATTTTTAATTATTTCTTTTTTGTTTGTAGGAATTTGAGGCAAAAATGAGAGTTGTACAGGTAGGGACGTTTGGTCATTCCTACATCGGCCACCAAATGAAAGAATCAGGTAGCCGAACGCCAATCGGCCACCTGAATCAGCCCATCATCACTTAACACTTAATCTAGGCTTAGGGGATAATTACTTGATTAAACCCTAAACCCTAATACGATAAATACGCTATAGGGCCCATAAGGCTCAAGGCCCATAAATGTCAGTATAAATAGCTCAGGTCAAAAGGTAACGTCACTGTTCATTAATTATCCTAGATATCTGTGCTTGTCCTGACTTGAGCGTTGGAGTGCCTTTTGCAGGTACCAACCCCTCTATTCACATCGGATTGGAGCACTCGTTCGGCCTTCAGACTACGAGAAGATCATTGGTGTACCCCCTTTGTAGGTACAAGAGTGATTTAGAAGTTTTCCTTTGCATCACTGTTCACGTGGACAATCGCTATTGCAATATCATGTGTATTTAACCATAATATGCTTCTTGGTGAGATTCTAATGTACTTAAGCTTTTATGGGATTTGTTGTTTTAAAGGGGGTGTTGCTTTGTACTCTAATTTGTGTGTCTTAAAATCTTCTATCTATTAGCTTGACTAGCAGACTTGTTCTTTTTATTTATTTCGTATTGAAGAGATGACATTTTACTATTATTATTGTTGTTATTAGTATTATTATTATAGTCAAAAATTGAAAATGTAAATATTGGTCCTTGTTTGTTTTCTAAAATTTGTTTGTCCCTAAGCACATTTGAAAATGCTTGTCTTGTAACACTTTGTTACTTGACTTGCTCTCAGCTTCGAGAACCTTGAGCTTCCAATTAATTAGTATTTGAACATTTTAATTTGTGGATCAAATAACGAAAGCACCTCATTTAGAAATTTCTATTGGCCATGGTTGATTTTCGGCTTTTCAGCCCAAATAAATAATAAAAAAATACATGAAATAAATTTAAAAAAAACTAATTATCAAAGTAGGTAATTTTTGACACGGTGCCTTTAATTGAATGATGTGGCAAAAAAAGTATAAAGCTTAGGAGGGGCATGCGTTTTAAATGGAATGCAGATGGCCCACCTTCTCCCTGCACCTTTAAGATTCGATTTGGACGCCCAACACTGCTATGAGATTGATTCAACCTCATTCTCCGACTCGCATCATCACAAATCCAAGGCTGTTGCTGATTCTAATTGGCCGGCGATAAACACACCTCCATTTTTATACAAAGAGAGTTGGTACGGTATCCTCAAAGATTGAGGGTTTCAATACATTTTTCTATGTAAACTCATAAAAGATTTTAAAAAATTAATTTAATTATAAAATGAATAATCCAAATTATATTTATAAAAT